CAACAGGATTTGTGCAGTACAGTACATGACTAAAGGTTGTTGTTTTTATTTTTGTCATAGTCTTTCCATTTGTTTAGCAAAAACGTTAAGTAGAAAACATTTGGAACCTTTGCCTAATTTTCCACCCACATCCTAACTTTGTATTGGTCTTTCTCATAATTGCCAAAACAGTCCAGTGGAGTTTTTTGAGCACGTTGGGACAAAACCAGTAAAAAGGTTTCAGGTCTGTGAATAATAAAAGGCACTCTAATTGTCCCATGGAACAATTTAGGGTTACAGCAGACTAATATGAAGCCAATAGATTGCTAAGCAGCTACAACAAGAAGGCTGCATAAACTTGAGACTCTTAAATTTGACATCCATAGAAACTCTTCAGAAGCGCTTAAACTTTTTTTTCTATTTTTTTAAAGCATAAAACCTTCTGATTTCAACATCCCTTTTATGCATTCAGTGCTTCCAGGAGTAACAATAGGAAAGCAGACTCCAACTGTGACTGAACCTGCAACATGTTTTTCTGACGAGACCATCATTTTTTATTTACAGCCTTAGTTATCTTTTTTTTTTCTTTTTTTTTTTATCCTTGGAAAGATTGATATAATGTTCCAACTTGTTCCTTTTTAGGTTTTGGTTTAATATTCAATTACTATTTGCTTCATTCTGGGTTTTTTCTTCAATAAAACTACAGTCATGTCTATAAATCTATGGGCACATTCTTAAGGAATCAGACAGAAGTGAAGACTAGAAGTCATTATAAAGCTGCAAAGAAGGACAGTCCATCTGAAATGGAAAATTATCCTGAGGCAGAGAAGGTCGAAGATGATTTAGCAAAGCAATCTAGGTATATTATTCCATTAAAAACTGAGAACATGAATGAGCTACAATTAAGAACAAGCTACCAAAGATCACCTGCTTGTTAACAAGAATGTTTTTCATCTTGACAGCCAAACAAATGCACTATGAATCAATCAGGTACATGGTTAAATGCCTGCCAGTATGGCATAACTGATGTACAAACCCCATACCCTCATCAGGTGATAATGGTGCACAAGCAAGGTTTTATAAATACGTTTTGTTGTTGATTACTACTTAAATGTTTTTCTCTAGTAAATGTGTATCCTGCATTTAGCAATTAATTTTAGATTCTTGTTAAAATCAGGTATTTTTCAGATTGATAAAGGCTTTATACCTACTGTAAGCATAAACAAATGTGCTAATGAAACAAAACTCTTCAGCGCAGAGCAGGAAAACTAAGTTTGTCATTTAAAGCTGTGAGGTGTTATGTGTTAAGTTAGATGACTCAGGAATGTTAAAGGTAGAACTGCCCATTAAATCAAAATCACAAACCTTAATGTAGTGTCAGTGGACGCAGTAATGAACTTAAAAACCACTAGCAAGATGAAATATATGGTAGAGTATAAAATTTTAGGTGAAACACATTCATATTTTGTATTAGAGTAAGAGATATGGCATATAACCCCCCTTTATGTTCAGTGAGTGTTCATGTAGAGTGATATGGTAAGAACTTTTATTGACATCTTCACCAACACAATGAAGTTGAGACACAGTTCTCTCTTTAGAACGAATACTGTACATTTACAGTCAATAAGAAACAACAGATATTTTAAATACAGTTAAAAGGAAAAAATAACAGATAGGGTAGGAATGGTGACACATGTTCAAATTGCACATGTGTCATATTGCACAAACCTGTTGCTCAATGCCATCACCAATGTGCATTTTGCAGTGCTATTGCTCATTATAAAAACTCTCACTCTCTAAGTTTCTTTGTCTCATGGAGAACAGGGGAATATTGTATAAAAGTAAAAAGAGTATTATGAATTCTGTTGCAGATTAATTAAATATTTACCTGATATCCAGCCACCCTACTGTAGCCTGATAAACCAGAATTAATGTGAGATGAAATGTGTATTAAAGTCTGGCTTCGATAAATGACACATCGGAAGATTGGTATGAGAACAACCCGTTGTTTTTTAATCTGCTGTCTGTGCCTATTGGCCAATGCTCTGACCAATGAGCGTAACTGACTGTGACATAGTAAGTGTGACAGAAAGCTGGTGGGGGAGTCTTATCCTTCCAAAACTGATTCCAAAGCTGAGTCAAACGAGAACAGTTCAATAGTTGTTGCCATCTTCATTGTTGCTCTTTCTCCAGCGTCGCTTAGCTTTGTCGTCACGCCCTCAAAACCCCGCCCACTTTGCATCCAGAAATTCAAAACACATCTCTGCGTTGTGATTGGCCAGCCAGTTCTAGGGTGTGGGGCATTGATAGAGGCTAGACCACTTGCAGGCAAAAATGATTTTAGCCACTGCAGAATGGGGCTAGTTTACTAGGCTACAGCCACCCTGGTGCAAATTAATGTAAAAGGAAGCTGTATTTCCTACATTTCAGGACACATCTGCAGTACATTCAGACAGACACTACTGACACTCTGAGCTACTGAAGTACTGCCTGTTATATAAGATGCTAAAGGCGGACATGTTGGTAGGTTGCTGGAAACAGAAACTCTGGTATTCACAATCAGTAATGCTGTAATAATCATTACTGTAAGATATTGAACACAGGTGGTATGTTGTCTTTGTTTTAGACTAAAACTAAAAAATTTTTAACAACAAAGCTTGAACAACAGCTCCTCTCTCACACCGTGTGACATCACCTCTCGCCCAAAAATAGGTATACAGAGCAGAGAGACACACATTATATCTGAATGGACTTTGTAGGTGTGCATCTTTGCAAACAAATGTGCAAAGAGACATTTCCAAATTTCCCCCATCTAGATTTTACTCGCTAGATTTTTAATGAAGCATAGAGAAGCAGCTCTGGAGCGTGATTCTGATTTTGAGCTAAGTACTTCATTAGACCATAGTTTCATTATGAAAACAAATACACATGTTTTGGACATATCTAGAGAGCACAACAAAAATCTTAATTTAAATGCTTAAAGTAAAATTGGAATCAACATAAAATTAACGTGAGAAGGTGACAGCTTTAAAGAATCAATGTTTATCTTTATTTAATATATATCAGATTTCAAATTGAATAAACAAATAATCTGCAAGTTTATAATCTGCTAAAACTGGTCAAAATAATTAGTGCTTGAATCACAAGGAGTCGGTTTACTGGCTCCAGTGTGGATTTTTTTTTCTACTGATATAAACCAAGACTCTTTTCAGAGTCTCCTGGTGTCAAGTTGAGTGTTTACTCCTTGATTACATTATTTTCCCATGGAGAATCACAGCATTTGGAGATGCTTTATGTGTTGAATCCTTTATTTGATAATCAATATGAAATGTGGTTAGTTAAGAAATCTCTAAATAAAGCATTGCTTTAACAATTTGGAGCACCTAAAACTAAAGCGTATGAAAAAGAAAATGGTCACGACAAAGACAACCAATTTGCAAACTGAACTAGTGACTAATAAGGCAGCAAAACCAATGATTTATGTGTCATCATGTGTCACCATTTCCTTCATTTTCATCAATTAAATTTCCTCTATTTTTTTTTTCTTTTGAGCTCATTACTAGCAAATCAATCTGACAGTTACCTCTGTACCCTAGAGACAGTTGGCTTTATGCTTTTTTATATCTTGCTCCAAATAGCATTCAACAGGGGAAGCAGCAAAACGTTGCTTTGTCTTCTAGTTGCAGACAAATTAAAGATATTTGTTTTAAATCACAAATGATTTATTATTCCTATCTATTGGGCATTGCTTTTGTTTTACAAATGTACCTGTAGATTTGGAAAGGTGATCCAAAGATTGCCAGAAATGATTAGTCCTTTAGATTTAAATACTAATAGACTGTCAAAGTGAAATCCAACATGTGGGTTTTAAATTTGGGTATGAAGGAAAGTTGTGAAAGCTGCACATAAAAGAAGGCATGGCTCAATCTATGTCAGACAGATTCATACCAAATATAAGCAAAGATGAATAAATTGACTGCATAAAATACAAGATAAAGTGGGAAATTATGTAGAAATACAAAAATGCAAAATATGTAAAGCCTATTTTATAGCTTAATAACTGGCAATTGTAACCTTTAGATTTATTGTATTTTTTGTTTTTTATATATATATAGTCCTTCAGAGAGGTACAAAAAAAGAAAAAAAAAACGACGGTGAAACAATGTATTGTACAGCAAGTAAGTTAAGTCACTTAAAGAACATGCTGCTATCCATTACATCACATATCCATTACTGTCCACTGCTGTATATTGATTATTTATTCTCCAGATGAAAACTATTTATATTGTGAAAACACTGTATAGTACAGTATTTTATTTGTTTATATTTTTTTTACATTTTTTTAAACTGTCACTTATTCTGTTATTTGTATACACTTTTTAAGGTCCACATTTGTGGGACCACGTTTGCTGTAATTTTTTTCAGCTATGACCCTAGAATTTCCCCATTTTGGAACAATAAATTGATTTTCTATTCTATATTCTAAGTAATAAGTTACTTTAACATTAGACAGATCATTTTTGAGGTATAGCCTACCTAAAAATGTAAAGGGTTCTCAGTAATAAATATAATTAATAATAATTCTCAGTAATAAAAAACTTATATAAAACATTATTTTTTAAAACTAATATCTAATAAGATATGTAAGAATAGTGACCCATAGTCCAATCACTATGCTGTTAAAAGTCTCAGCAGAGTAGAATAATATGAGCCTAAAAATATCAGGCTCACTATTATGTTTTATTCATCATTTTATAGAATAGAATGCACCCAAAATCTGTTAAAATTGTCTCTCATTTTTTGGTGCTGAAAAAGGCTGTTCCTTTAGCTGTTTATCTATTCCTTTAGGTATTTTTCTTTATTTTGGCAGCTTCAGTCCTCCACAGTGGGCAGATGTGAAAAAGGGTAAACCATTTTTTCTGATGACTCATTGCCTGTTTTACTATAAATAAATACTGGATAACGAATTTAGGGTTTCAACAGCCTGATGTAAAAAAAAAATCAAAATAAGAGTTTCTTACCTGTGCTTCTATACAAGTCCAATAAATTAAAAAGTTTAACAGCCATAAAACAAACTTCATACTTCGTCGGTCCGCCTTCATTCTTTGTATTTGATGATAATATTGTTCAGATCCGGCAGGTAGGTTGATAAATGCGTGTTTAGATAAATCATCTGCACATCCTGGGTTAAGATTTTCACATCATAAGAAAGTCAAAGTTTCGCCTGAAGTTCAGATCCAAAATCCACGAGCTGCAGCAGTTGCATCTGTCTGATCAGGTCCTAAAATCCTTCGCTCTGCTAAAACGGAGAGGCTCCCAGAAATGTGTCCCCCACCCTGGGGAGCCTTTAGGACCCTGTCCCTGCTGCATAGACCTGAGCCTGACGCGCGCTGGAGATCCGCGTTAACCCGGTGATCAGTGCGCGCAGACAGCAGTAAATGAGCTCCCCTTTCAGCGCCAGCACATTTCCATGTGTCATGAATCACTTTATAGAGTGGGCGTTTTCCCCACGGAGCACCCCACTGCATCCAGTCTGTCTGCTTCTGCAAATCACTGAGATGTGGGGTGGAGGTTCCTCTCTTTCACTCGGTTCTAATCTCACTGAGTAGACGCGCGTCTCTGATGCCCCAAAGAGAAAAAAGGAAGTTAACCTCAAACAAGGCAGTTTCTTCCTATTTTTTATTTTTATTTTTTTACTGTTTTTTTGGTACCATTTAAGACTATGAGAAGCAACAGGGAGGTCTACCTAATATAGAAAAACAGATTTATCTTTCCATATATCCTGATACTAGCAGAATACTCATTCCATGTGAATCCTTTCCAATTTTCCTTAATTTGAACCCAGGCAAGGTGGCCAGGGCATTTCACAGGGTGGACGCAGCCACTCCTGACCACCTCCTGGTGGCACCACTGACTTAAGTTATTTCCAATTCTTCTAAAAAAAAGTTAGCTAAAATAAAGGAAACCTGAAATCTGTTTCTAATTTTATTTCTGGACTTTGTCTGCGCCATCTGACTGGGATCAAATGTAAAACCATTATATTGTCATGTGTCACTGTATGTTAAGATTTATTCCCCTGCTGGAAGGTGAATCTCTACCTACAGCCGCAAATCTGTTGAAGCTAAGATTTTCCTGTATCTCCATCCAACCTTCTGTCAACTTTAGACTTCTTGTGTTTATACTGACATGAGAGGTTAATTGTCCAATGATGTGCAGCACTTTGTATTGTTTTGTTACTGAAATGTGCTATATAAGTAAACTTGCCTTGTCTTGCCTTACAAAAGAATAGCATTCTTTTACATAGCTTGATGCTGCCAAGGGGATGCAGGGCAGCTACATTATGCATTAAAGGTCACTTGCAACACTGATCTAGATATTTGATAACCTTATGTTCAAAACTGAATGCAAAATCTTAAATGGATCATCTGTATAAAAGTTTAAGGCAAAAAAACTGCCTCTCCTCCTAATTTGTTACTGTTTTGTTCCAGTCGGTGTTTAGTGATTTTGCAGCTCAGACCTTGGGATCCATTTGGTCATTGTAGAAATCCTTTCTGTTTAACTTTGATTGCCGCTGGATCTTTCTGGGTCCACGTTTTGCTGCAATTTAAATGATACTATGAAGGACTGCCCAGTACCTTTAGCTGGATCTAAGCAAAAGATTCCTTTGCACAAGGGGATTCAGCTAGCTGCTACTGTCTATATAACTTGTGATATAGTGCCACTGGATGTAACGAGTGTCCACTCCATCTCTCTGCCTCCTGTTTTTGTAAACCTTGCAGATTATGAGCTGCATTGAGCATTTGTTTTTTTTTTTTGGTCTTTGTGGTTATAGCAGAAGCTTGTCTTGCAGTAATTCCTTAAAGTACTGTTCCAGAACAAATGCTGTGCTCTGCTCTTTCCTCTGTGTTTTACTCTTATTTTATAGTAGGCAAATGGGATTTTTCTCTTCTATAATCACACTGCATTATTGGTGAATGTTAAGTTGGCCGCTCCTGATGTTTTAGATGGCTGCACTTCGAAGCAGATGTCTCTCTTACAAAAAGAGCTTTATTTGCCTGTTTTATTTAT